AATTAAGAAAATAGCGTGAGAGATGAAGGTTGAAATTTAATGTAGATAAATGCCATGTAATGGAAATAAGAGAAAGCTAAGTCAGGACAAGAAGAATATAGATCGTGTGACAAAATAATCAAAGTATCAGAGAAAGAGAGAGAGAGAGAGAGAGATCTAGGGGTTATTATTAAAAAAATTGTCAGGGTGCGATTATGTCAGTGAAACCGAGAGAAACTCACATGTTACACTGGACAGTATAAAATAAATTTAAAGCAGCTGGATGAATATAATTACATATAAGTTATATATAAATATGGGAGAATAGATATAGAAGGCATATTACCTGTATTATGAGCACACACACACACACACACACACACACACACACACACACACACACACACAGTGAAGAGACGGGGCCAGGAGCTGTGAATCGACCCCTGCAACCACAACAAGAGAGTACACACACACACACCTTCATTCTCCGCCCATAATAACATCACCACACAGACTTCTCTGCCTCCAAAAACAATCCACGAAGTTATAATTGTATCTCTGGAAAACTAGTGGCACTTCTCATGTCTGGTAGACGCACAGGTCTGACGGTACTCATGTCTGGTAGACGCACAGGTCTGACAGTACTCATGTCTGGTAGACGTACAGGTCTGACAGTACTCATGTCTGGTAGACGCACAGGTCTGACAGTACTCATGTCTGGTAGACGTACAGGTCTGACAGTACTCATGTCTGGTAGACGTACAGGTCTGACAGTACTCATGTCTGGTAGACGTACAGGTCTGACAGTACTCATGTCTGGTAGACGTAACAGGTCTGACAGTACTCATGTCTGGTAGACGCACAGGTCTGACAGTACTCATGTCTGGTAGACGCACAGGTCTGACAGTACTCATGTCTGGTAGACGCACAGGTCTGACAGTACTCATGTCTGGTAGACGCACAGGTCTGACAGTACTCATGTCTGGTAGACGCACAGGTCTGACAGTGGTCATGTCTGGTAGACGCACAGGTCTGACAGTGCTCATGTCTGGTAGACGCACAGGTCTGACAGTCCTCTTGTCTGGTAGGCGCACAGGTCTGACAGTACTCGTGTCTGGTAGACGCACAGGTCTGACAGTCCCCTTGTCTGGTAGACGCACAGGTCTGACAGTACTGTCTGGTAGACGCACAGGTCTGACAGTGGTCATGTCTGGTAGACGCACAGGTCTGACAGCACTCATGTCTGGTAGACGCACAGGTCTGACAGTACTCTTGTCTGGTAGACGCACAGGTCTGACAGTCCTCTTGTCTGGTAGACATACAGGTCTGACAGTCCTCTTGTCTGGTAGACGCACAGGTCTGACAGTCCTCTTGTCTGGTAGACGCACAGGTCTGACAGTCCTCTTGTCTGGTAGACGCACAGGTCTGACAGTACTCATGTCTGGTAGACGCACAGGTCTGACAGTCCTCTTGTCTGGTAGACGCACAGGTCTGACAGTCCTCTTGTCTGGTAGACGCACAGGTCTGACAGTCCTCTTGTCTGGTAGACGCACAGGTCTGACAGTACTCATGTCTGGTAGACGCACAGGTCTGACAGTCCTCTTGTCTGGTAGACGCACAGGTCTGACAGTCCTCTTGCCTGGTAGACGCACAGGTCTGACAGTCCTCTTGTCTGGTAGACGCACAGGTCTGACAGTCCTCTGGTAGACGCACAGGTCTGACAGTCCTCTTGTCTGGTAGACGCACAGGTCTGACAGTCCGCTTGTCTGGTAGACGCACAGGTCTGACAGTCCTCTTGTCTGTAGACGCACAGGTCTGAAAGTCCCTTTGTCTGGTAGACGCACAGGTTGACAGTCCTCTTGTCTGTTAGACGCACAGGTCTGACAGTTCTCTTGTCTGGTAGACGCACAGGTCTGACAGTCCTCTTGTCTGGTAGACGCACAGGTCTGACAGTCCTCTTGTCTGGTAGACGCACAGTTCTGACACTCCTCGTCTGGTAGACGCACAGGTCTGACAGTCCTCTTGTCTGGTAAGAGTTTGAATCGCGACGACAGGTCTGACAGTCCTCTTGTCTGGTAGACGCACAGGTCTGACAGTCCTCTTGTCTGTTAGACGCACAGGTCTGACAGTCCTCTTGTCTGGTAGACGCACAGGTCTGGCAGTTCTCTTGTCTGGTAGACGCACAGGTCTGACAGTCCTCTTGTCTGGTAGACGTACAGGTCTGACAGTCCTCTTGTCTGGTAGACGCACAGGTCTGACTGTCCTCGTCTGGTAGACGCACAGGTCTGACAGTCCTCTTGTCTGGTAGACGCACAGGTCTGACAGTCCTCGTCTGGTAGACGCACAGGTCTGACAGTCCTCTTGTCTGGTAGACGCACAGATCTGACAATTCTCTTGTCTGGTAGACGCACAGGTCTGACAGTCCTCGTCTGGTAGACGCACAGGTCTGACAGTCCTCTTGTCTGGTAGAGGCACAGATCTGACAGTCCTCTTGTCTGGTAGACGCACAGATCTGACAGTTCTCTTGTCTGGTAGACGCACAGATCTGACAGTCGTCTTGTCTGGTAGACGCACAGGTCTGACAGTCCTCTTGTCTGGTAGACTCACAGGTTTGACAGTTCTCTTGTCTGGTAGACGCACAGGTCTGGCAGTTCTCTTGTCTGGTAGACGCACAGGTCTGACAGTCCTCTTGTCTGGTAGATGCACAGGTCTGACAGTCCTCTTGTCTGGTAGACGCACAGGTCTGACTGTCCTCGTCTGGTAGACGCACAGGTCTGACAGTCCTCTTGTCTGGTAGACGCACAGATCTGACAGTCCTCTTGTCTGGTAGACGCACAGGTCTGACAGTCCTCGTCTGGTAGACGCACAGGTCTGACAGTCCTCTTGTCTGGTAGACGCACAGATCTGACAGTCCTCTTGTCTGGTAGACGCACAGATCTGACAGTCCTCTTGTCTGGTAGACGCACAGATCTGACAGTCGTCTTGTCTGGTAGACGCACAGGTCTGACAGTCCTCTTGTCTGGTAGACGCACAGGTCTGTCAGTCCTCTTGTCTGGTAGACGCACAGGTCTGACAGTCCTCTTGTCTGGTAGACGCACAGGTCTGACAGTCCTCTTGTCTGGTACACGCACAGATCTGACAGTCCTCTTGTGTGGTAGACGCACATGTCTGACAGTCCTCGTCTGGTAGACGCACAGGTCTGACAGTCCTCTTCTCTGGTAGATGCACAGGTCTGACAGTCCTCTTGTCTGGTAGACGCACAGATCTGACAGTCCTCTTGTCTGGTAGACGCACAGGTCTGACAGTCCTCTTGTCTGGTAGACGCACAGGTCTGACAGTCCTCTTGTCTGGTAGACGCACAGGTCTGACAGTCCTCTTGTCTGGTAGACGCACAGGTCTGACAGTCCTCTTGTTGGTAGGACGCACAGATCTGACAGTCCTATTGTCTGGTAGACGCAAGGTTGACAGTCCTCTTGTCTGGTTAGACGCACAGGTCTGACAGTCCTCTTGTCTGGTAGACGCCACAGGTCTGACAGTCCTCTTGTCTGGTAGACGCACAGGTCTGACAGTCCTCTTCTCTGGTAGACGCACAGGTCTGACAGTCCTCTTGTCTGGTAGACGCACAGGTCTGACAGTCCTTTGTCTGGTAGACGCACAGGTTGACAGTCGTCTTGTCTGGTAGACGCACAGGTCTGACAGTCGTCTTGTCTGGTAGACGCACAGGTCTGACAGTCGTCTTGTCTGGTAGACGCACAGGTCTGACAGTCGTCTTGTCTGGTAGACGCACAGGTCTGACAGTCCTCTTGTCTGGTAGACGCACAGGTCTGACAATCGTCTTGTCTGGTAGACGCACAGGTCTGACAGTTCTCTTGTCTGGTAGACGCACAGGTCTGACAGTCGTCTTGTCTGGTAGACGCACAGGTCTGACAGTCGTCTTGTCTGGTAGACGCACAGGTCTGACAGTCCTCTTGTCTGGTAGACGCACAGGTCTGACAATAACGAAAACTGTTAAATAAGACAACGTTGGATATTTAGTTAATACGTGTCGCAGGCTGGGAAGTTAATACGTGTCGCACGCTGGGAAGTTAATACGTGTCGCACGCTGGGAAGTTAATACGTGTCGCACGCTGGGAAGTTAATACGTGTCGCACGCTGGGAAGTTAATACGTGTCGCACGCTGGGAAGTTAATACGTGTCGCACGCTGGGAAGTTAATACGTGTCGCACGTGGGAAGTTATACGTGTCGCACGCTGGGAAGTTAATACGTGTCGCACGCTGGGAAGTTAATACGTGTCGCACGCTGGGAAGTTAATACGTGTCGCACGCTGGGAAGGTTTTCAGTGCTTTCGGTTTGAACGTTTATTATCTACCGGGTCATTTTTCTGACCAATTCTGCATTTGCTTTACTGTGTTTTCTAAATAACCTGTCATCTAACATTCATAAGTTTCTTACCTGCTATATATCTTCTACTTGTGATCAGTTCTTTATTCCTCAGATATGTAAAAACCTGAAATTTGTCGTAATTGAACATCACGTTGTTTTCAGTATTGTAATTTTTCTGGATTTTTTACTGAGACAACATTCATGCTTATTTTAGTCCCGTGGCAGTGGTGGAATATCTGAGCAGCCAGAAGGCGGTTACTGGTGTTATAGTAACAGCCTGTTGAGACAAAATAATGTAAGCCTAAAGCTTACAGGGGCCAGTGTAGTTGGGGCACAGAAGTCACTCTTTGACCACTCGATCAGCTGAGGCAGTTCGGTAGATAAGTGACACGTGGATATGGAATATAAGTATCTCGTGCACTGACACTTGTTCCTCACGACTAGCGTGACCCTAGATCAGTCCTCTGTGCTAAGAAATAGGTTACTAGATACTCACAAAAAGTTGACGGTTAGTATCAAATTAAACCTTAAATCAATGGAGGTAATCTGAAGAAAATCAAGGATAAACCAAAGACTACAGGAGGATAATATACTTCCAACACTGACTCAGGAGTAGGAAACAGGTCACTTCACTCACCAGGTCAACACTGAGTCAGGAATAGAAGCGGCTAACAGGTCACCTCACTCACCAGATCAACACTGAATCAGGAGGAGTGACTGTAAAAGGTCACCTCACTCACCAGATCAACACTGAGTCAGGAGTAGGAGTGACTGTAACAGGTCACCTCACTCACCAAGTCAACTAGAGCAGTTCCTGCCACGGGCACTAGGTGGCACTGATGTTACCATACCACCTCACCTACTATAGTACGGTAACGACTCAAACAACCATCTAGACTACTACCAGAGGACAGAAAAATAATATACACACTGAACTTATTCCTCACACTGATCATTTCCTCATTGTTTGTCAATATCCAATGTAGCGTATTTTAATTTCTTGTAAGTTCTCTTATGTGTTGATTCACAGCAAGCTTTGATTAGACGTACGAGCTCCCTGGTATGTGCTTGTTTCACTTGTTTAATTAAGTATTTCTAGATACAGTAACTGGTACAATGCTCTTGTCTACCAATATTCCGTTTTACATTCTGGGAGACTGAAATCTCCAAGGAAAATAATATTTGGTGTTGCATTCCCCAGGTTTTCAACTACTCTTTCTCACACCTCTTCTCTCGTCCTCCTTCACATCCTCCCTCCCTCCCATTCTCCCTCACGCCCTCACATCCTCACCTCCATACTATAAAATAATTAACCATTAAAATTATCTTAAAGGGCTATAAAATACGTAAAAATTAATCGTGTAATTACATAAGTGATGGAATCCTTCCATGATGCAGAGATGGATCCCTCCCTCCCATGATGCAGAGATGGATCCCTCCCTCCCATGATGCAGAGATGGATTCCTCCCTCCCATGATGCAGAGATGGATCCCTCCCTCCCATGATGCAGAGATGGATCCCTCCCTCCCATGATGCAGAGATGGATCCCTCCCTCCCATGATGCAGAGATGGATCCCTCCCTCCCGTGATGCAGAGATGGATCCCTCCCTCCCATGATGCAGAGATGGATCCTGTCAGTGGAACGCCTTCCAACTGAACAAAAGAAATTAATGGAAAAATAAATAAATAAAGAAATAACTTAGGAAAAAATGAGAAAAATGATTTTTGAGAATTTTACTTAAAATTTAAATATAATAAAAAAAAATGGCCTTCAGTTCTTGTAGTTGGGTAGGAGTAGGTATGGCCCTGGATAGTTCCTCTGATGTTATTTATGTAGGTTATCCTGGGCAGATGGTAATCCGATGTTCTGGAATCTCCTACCACTTGGAAGGAGCCAAGTAGAATAGGTAAAGGCCGGTAGTAGTAGAATAATGTTAATAAGTATTATTAACATGTCTTGCTCCTTTATCTGGCGTCTATCTGGAAGACCACGCCAGGAACGAGGCTGGTAAATAAGAGAAAATAAACTGGTTACCCATAGTTATGATAATATAACATTTAAGAATTGAAAAGAATGATATAATGCCAAAATCATTACTGGTAACCAGCAAACAAAATAAAGAAACAAACAGTGATACTCTGGATATCATACCCTACTGATTAGGAGAAGAGTGGAGGTGAAGTGACTCTCCAAACCTCAACCACACCAGGTAAGGTCAATATTACCAGGAGTAGAAACTAACAAATCGGACACAGGAACTAGTTTGCCCCAGCCCGCCAGAGAGAAGGGGGGGGGGTGCACGCGACGTAACTAATGGTTCCTGGTTGCCCGAACAATCTTAACCCCACTTACACCTACTTTTCCCTACAATACCCCCTTCCAAAACTTATGGACGGAGTCATAAGTCAACGAACGGGGGAAAGAACTAAATACAACCTGCTCAGCCAATCTGAAAAGTGGTTTTCAGAGCCAGAATATAAACGACTTTAAACTTATAGGGCTGAATAGCCAGAGCCATCTCAAGAGTCTGCTATTTGACCCTTTAAAGTTTTCCAAGTACATCAGTGGCTTGTGATCTGTTTCAAGCACAAAGGGTTTACCGTATAGGTAGTATTTAAATCTACTTTACCCCATACTAAAGCATAACATTCTTTCTCCACAGTGGAATATCTTTCTCTGGGCAGAAGCTTCTTACTGGCGAAAGATATGGGAAAGGTGTCTCCTCATAATATTGAAGTAGTACAGCCCCGAGTCCAGAATGGGAGGCATCTGTTTCGGAGACAAAATATTTTTTAATATCTGGTATTTAAGGAGGGGGTTTTGAAATATTCCTCTTAATTTCTTCGAAGCTTTGGAGGGCTTCCTCGAACAACTAAGAGGTTCCTTGACACCCTTTTTCAAATAGTCTGTAAGAACTGAAGTTAAGCTACTTAGATTTGGTACGAAATTTCTATAGAAGTTTACAGATCCAAGGAAACTTCTTAATAACTTTTGGTACTGGGAACGTACTTTCTAAAACAGCTTTGGTCTATTTAGGAAGTGGTGAAAAGTTGTTATCAGAGATAATGAACCCAAGGTATTGTACCTTATGTAGCCAAGAAAGCACTTTTGTGGTTTAACTGTAAGGCCATGAGTTCTTAGTCTTTTTCAAAACAAGCGCTAGTGTATTTAGATGGTCTTCCCAGACATTTGTCATGATATAAATTATTATCAAAATACACTGAAACATTCTTTAGATAGAGAGAACTATTCTCATAAGCTATTACGTGGCACATGCGGTAACCAAGCCGAAAGGCATGTGCGGTATTGATTTAGACTATATGGTAGGAAAGCATGTATGTTTCGAGTCTGGGTGTAATGGCACTTGATGGTAGGCTTGTGAGATGTCTAATTCTGAAAAGAATTTGCAGTCATGGAATTTATACAAGTCATGATCAATTACTGGCATGGGTTCTGCATCCCATTTAGTTATGTATTCAAATAACGAAAATCTTGTGCCAGTCGGTAGATTATCGGGTTTCTTAACCATAACAACTGGTGAACAGAAAGTGATTTCGAAGGGTTCTATGATGTTTAAGTTAAATAGTTTGTCCACCTCATTATCAAAATTTTCGTAAGTGAACGGGAACAGGGTAGATTTTCCGCCTTACTGGTTCATGATCCGACAATTCAATCTTGTGTACAATAGTGGTGGTAAGTCCTGGTACTCTGTGAATACGTCAGAAAATGAATTTACCAAGGCACTTACTTGAGACTTTTGTTTATTTGACAAGTCGTTGTTAATGTTGACATTTGACTTCTTTGGTGAGGGATCATGCGTTTAAGATATCCAGTAGTTCCTTCGATTCTGTAAAAGACTCGTCATCTATAATACAAACTCTAATTTCGTACGATCACACTTGTATCCAAGCTGAAGAAAGTAGTATCTTTCAAAGGCATTTACGCAAAGATTAACTTCTTTCGATGGTACCGTTTCAAAATATTGACGTGATACATTCTCTCTCTACCTTGACATCCAAGATATATCTACCTTATTGCAGACCTTCACTACTTTATACGGTCCGCGCCAGGTATTAGCAATTTGTTGGATTTGTCAGGTAGGAGAACTAAACTTCATCACCAACATTAAACGTACGCTTGGAGCTTTTATGGTCAAATAGGTCTTGTACGTTTCCATAGCAATCTCTAGGTTTTTACTGACCAAATCGGCGGTTTCTTCCAACCTTTCCCTTAGATCTAAAAGAACTGATAGCTGTTTTGAACCTCAGGTTTGATATTCTTTGGACCAAAGTTCATTCAAAATAGATAGTGGACCACGAGCTTGTCTCCCATAAAGCAATTCGAAAGGGGAATAACCAAGGGAATCGCTTGGATCTCGCGCATTGCGAAAAGAGCACATGGTAAAAATCTATGCCAGTCCGTTGGTTTAAGAATTACATAGTTTTTTTAGTATTGACTTTAGGATGGCTGTTGTCGCTCCACTTTCCGTTACACATCGGAATGGTAAGGTGTTAGTGAAAAGAGGTTTAACACCACAAGTTGATAACGTGTTCCATTAATTCTGAAGTGAATTGTGCCCTTTGTCAGACAGAATTTCACGAGGTATACCTACACGTGAAAAAATAGAAAATAAGCTTCTGCGGACTTCTATGGACGTAATGGATTTTAAGGGTACCGCCTCTGGAAGCTGGACGCGTAGTCATCATAGTTAAAATATATTTATGACCTCTGATGAGCGGGTGTGATAGGACCAACTAATCTACTGCAACCCTTGCAAAAGGGACTGAGAAAATTGGCATCTTTACCATAGGAACTCTCCTAGTTCTACCCTTCTGCGTGGAAAGTTGACATACGTGACATGATCTGCAGTACTTATAGATGTCAGAGGACATGCTAGGCCAGAAATATAGGTCCTTGATTTTATTATAGGTCTTCCTATGTGAAAATGGCCAGAGACTGGCAAGTCATGAGAAATCTTTAAAATGGTTTCTCGGCAATCCTGCGGAATGACTAACAGGCTTCGACCAACGTCATTGGGTTTGTCCGCAGACACTATAGTCTTGTACAAAAGATCGTGTTTGAACTCAAACTTGTAAGAAAATTTCTTTCTCTGGGTCACTTGCCATTTAAAGCTAACTTCCGAGATTCCTCTAAGGAAGGACAGTCTTTTGAAGACCCTCTAAAATCTATATGAGACAGCCGATTGGCTTTCCTTTGGAAAGAACTAATGGGTGGATAGGTTTTACCTTAGACTGAGCTCTGGTAACGACGTTAATCGAGTCTAGTTGTTGTATAGATTGTGCCACACGTAGTTTTCCACTGGCGTCTGCGTTGTCCAGTTCAAGTGACTGACTTAAGGTGTTACCGGAGTTTTGTAACCATCAGCTCTCTGATTTAGGTTATCCAACTGAATCTCATCTGGAACTATCTGTGAAGAAACAGAGATATTAGGTTCCAACCCTTCCTTGGAAACTCCAAATTCCAAACAGTCCTTCTCAGATGGGAAAGTAGCCCCTTGTATGTTCCCAACCAAAACAGAACATGAGGTTATCGGGGCAACTACGGCATCTACCCATCCTGAGAACCATTTGCACCTAACGAAACATCTGACTGTTGGAAAAGAATCGCATCTTCCTAAATAGTCAGTTAACTTAGTGGACTTATAACGTGAAGAATCTAGGTTAGGGGAAAAGCTTACTTGAGATAACAATACAGGAACATCCAGTGTCTCTAAGAATGGTTGACACATTCATG